AAAGTTGTATCTCTTCATGTCTCTTGTTTTTCAAGGAATCAGTGGATAGTTTAATGTTTCATGTTTTCTTTTGTGAAAAAAAGGAAATGTAAACTAACTTTGTAAGCAAACAAAGAATAGTTTTCCTTCTGAAATGTCTTTTTCTGAGTAAACTTCCAGTTTCTTTCATTGTGTCTATGCTGTGGGGACTAGACAAATCTCTCAGAGACCAGGATAGACTTTAAGATTGATTTACATTTGATATGTTTTTGTCCTAAAGTAGTAAACAGTAAATATTTTAAAGAAGAACTGCCAAGGTGAATTCTGCTTCCTGCAGATTAAAAGTTTATTCCTTTTTGAATGTTCAAAATGATTTTTTTTTTTTCACTGATAGTTAAACAGTTGAAGAGTTTTAGTGTTTCTTCTTTGAAATATACGCACATCTTAATCCTTGGTTGTTAAATTGCTTTAGTTATTTAGTCTGTTCTCAAAATGCTTTCTTAAATGTGGAATGGTGTTCAGAGCTATTGTGTTGTGAAGCAGATTGTGGGTATGTGTTATTGCATCACACAGGTGATAATTAACCATCTAGTGCTCTTTCAAAGGACAGTGTGCTTTTCTCATACAGTGCTGTGATCACTGTTCTTTCATGGTGTTCTCAGCCACAGGAAAGCACATTAAACATCTCTGCTGGCTTTACATTCTCTCTCAAATCCCTGCTAATCACACACTGAATATTTCTACACAAAACACTTTCAGTTAATAGTGGAGTCTCTTGTCCCTTCTGGGTCTCAGGAGTCAAGCTGCAAGCAGGACTCGGCTCTGAGCTGAACCTGCCCATTGCCAGAAGCAGGCTGGGCAAGAGCAATATTCACTTCGAGAGAGCTATGACATTAAGCAAATGCCTCTACAGAATTATTTTACCAACATCAGTTGTACAATCAAGCAGTTGCTTGACCACAGGCTACATGCCTTTGTGTACATTTGAGCAACAGCTGGAGTTTTACAGGCAAAGTGCAGGGAAGAAGCTTGTGCAACAGCTACCATGGATGAAGATGAAGCACCTTAAA